AATAAATATATAAATTGCAGTAATTAGTAATATACAAACTTTAACAATTTGACATATTATTTTGTCATTTTTAAATGACTATATACACTAGAAATAAATCATATACTTCTATGTGAATTTCTAATTCTAATAATTAATACAGTTACATATTAGTTTGTACTATTCCTGTTATTTGGAAGTTACTACGTGTATTATAAACAGATCATGTTTCTATCTAAATTATTATTTACTGGCGAATTAAATACTGATAATGGTTTGACATTATAAATATATAAATTTTGACAATTTTATATATTTTTCTGTCGTATTCTCATTATTCAGAAGTTACCAGCTTATGCTACTGTTTGTGTTTTCAATTGTGTAGTAATGTAAATATCAATAAAAGATTAGATATGTTAAAAATATAGCTCTAATATTTAATAAAATATAAATTTCTATAATTAAAAATATTTTTCTAGAGCATTTGAAAAATTACGTGTTACAAAGAGATCATTCAACTGCCTGATTACTAATAATTACTAGTGAACTAGATATTAGTAAAAAATGATATATGCTACTCTCCAGTATAATTTTATAAAAAATGAAAAAATTTAAAAAATAATAAATATTAAGAAACACGTAATTAAATAAACTGTCACATAAATGAATAATAAATTAATATATTAATATTAATATGCAACATTTTTGCAATTTAAAAAATTGCTTGATTATTACCAAAGGTGTTATTAAAATCGTTACAACGTTGTCCTAGTTTTTTATATGAATGTAAATGAACTACAATCTTAGTTCAATAGCAATTATTTTTTTATGGGAATTACACAATTAATAAATCATATTTAATGCAAGATACAATCTTCAAGTGATACTCGCGTTACGATTAATTTTACGTCTTTATATCAAATTTCTCTTTTCATCACCTACACACAAAAAGCACCTAAATCCTAATTATCCAGAAAAAGAGAAAGTATCCTCAAAATATTCTACGAAAAAGTAAAAAGCGAAATGAAATTGACACGAATATTGAAACATAATTAAAATTCTTTTTAATATAGAAAATCGTGACTGAATTGCTTAAATAACCTCGATTTATATTACCTAACCTAATCTTCGTCAAATAATTCCAAAATAAAACGAATCATTTTTAATGTTATAAATCATCAGAGAACACTTGCAATATACGTTTCATCTGCTTTGCAAAATGTAACACGGTTATTCAACTGAATCAACGAAGAGTTTTATATAATGAATGATCTAGAATCGTATCCACGTACTCCTTGATCCATCAACATCAATGACTCAATCTACATAATTTATATGGTATTTTGCATATGCGTTACATTTAAAATGTAACAGAAACACCATTTTTTCCATACTTCCGATCTGTATTCTCAGACGTTGTTCGAGCAACTCTGTAACATCTTGCTCCAACATTTTCATCCCCAATTATTTCGAAATCTGTTCGCATTGCGTAACGAAACTGTCGCTAAAAACGTTGCGTTATTTAGAGCACGCTATTTCCTCACCGATTCTTTATTAATTATCAGAGATCGTCAGGCCCAATTTCTTCATCGCTTAGAGAAATGTATCTAAATATCGATCTACAACGGTATTCGATCATGGATTAACATATTAGCAAATGGCTCGGAGTGACAATTCTTTCAACGTTCATAGTCTTTATTTGCTAGTTATCTCCTAGTAACATGTTTAACACTAGATCTAGTCGAGATGACTGGTTTCGGATATTTTATTATGCTGTTTTTACTAAAAATATGCAGCTATTTTTTTGAAAATTTAATATCGAGTTTCATTCACGCGAAGAGATTTCTATCATCTAAAGAAATATTTATTTCATTTATTTACAGTCTTTATTTGCTAGTTACTTCTTAGTATCGTGTTTAACACTAGATCTAGTCGAGATGACTGGTTTCGGATATTTTATTATACTGTTTCTACTGAAAATATGCAGCCATTTTTTGGAAAATTTAATATCGAGTTTCATTCACGCGAAAAGATTTCTATCATCTAAAGAAATATTTATTTCATTTATTTACTTATTTTGTTATCTGTTTATTTTCACCCTATTACTTTAAATAATGTTTCCTATTTTTTATTTATCTTACTATTTCTTAATTCTTTCCATTTATTGCTTCTATGATTTCTCGTTGAATAGGGGTTCGCATTGAAGTAACTAGAAAAATAAAAAGTAAATAGAAAAAGTAGAAAAAAGCGGTAAAAGTTTGGAAAATGAGATATTAATTAAAATTTCGTTGCAATAAATGTTTCCATTCTTGCAAAATAAAATCTCGTGACTTATTTTCTCACACATTTGCGTCCATTTTTAGAATTTATAAAAAAAAGGAAATGTAAACCGCGATTAATCTTTTTCTATATTACTAAGAAAACGACACATTATACAGAGACACGTGTAACATTTCCATATATTACATTAGTCTCGTAAAAGATTGAAAATTATAGTATCAGCTATCATTTTGTCACATATTGTACATCGTTCACTTAATTGAACAGCTAGATGGTAAACGTAGATATCGAAGGTTTTACTGTCAGTGGATAAGAAACACGATGAAACGTTAAGGAAACCAAAGGATGTTACTTTGCCTGAATTAACGTTGCATTATGCATGCATTACGTTGCTTTCCCTTGACATTCTAATCCAGGAACAAAATCGATGGTTCGCGTTCCAGTTCGAAAGTAGATCGCAAAACCGAACAATTACCCTTCCTAATAATCATACGACTGTACGCTTCCTGCGCAAGGCACAGTATCGAGAAATATCGAGTTCTCGAATTGCAAACGCAACGAGTGCTTAGTATAAACGAAGAACGAGGTTATATCGGACCCTTTTATACCGCGTTCCACTTCTCTTTGTGACCAACACGTACGCCACGCACACGTTAAACTTGATTGTTTAACTGCTTATTGTCCCGGGTGTAGGAGAATAAAATCAAACGGTGTCCATCGCAAGTAAGCGTTATGTTTCACTCTAAGCTAATGAATAAATGCCGAGCTCGTGGTTTTACAGAAGAGTGGACCCTTCTCCGTTGCTTCGTCCTCATGTGTGAATAGCTTCCGGGGTCTTATCTCGATACCCGAGCCTGTGGTCTGCACATCCGCATCCGCCCCTGATCCTGGAGTCTCGGCGATCTCTTCCTAAAAATCGGACGAGGAAGTTATGCTAGAACCATCGGTATTCCTGCGAACACCCTGTAACACCATCAACTTTCCGATGCCAGTTAATCCCTATAATACAATACCATCAACGTCCCTAAAACACAATATTCTCATAAACATTGTCAGTAATCCTATATTCGATGTATACCCTGATCTGTAAAGGAACGTAGAGTAAAGGAACTATTTATTGTTATCACTCGTTAAAGATTTCAGTACGCTAATCACAGTCTCCTAATAGCTCCAAAGTTCACTACGTCAATTCTAGACCACTATAATTCAGTTTTCGATATAATTCAGTACTCACAGGTGGTCTACTAGGACTATTAGAACTGCTACTAGGAGTCGTCTCTTGCTTACAACCTGACAACTAGGATAATCCACTATAATTCGGTAATTATCTAAAACCAGTGACTCCAGTCAACTAAACACCGAAACCTTGCTGTACCCAGAACGTAGGGGCTTTAGCTCCGGGCCACCATCTTATCTATCCGAATAGTTACTCAACGATTATTTCATATTATTTTACGTAAGCCGTTCATTGGACCCGTCAGCCTATCTCCCGCAAAATGACGTACAATATTGATGAAACTCGTCCGCACGTACAGTGAACCTTCTTCAGATCTCGACAATATCTCGTATAGAGCTTTTGCTAAGCATGCCACTCGCGCTGGTGAATTTTGCAAAGGGAATTAGTCTAATCACAATCGTAAAGTCCCTAGACTGGGGAAAGTATTTATTTAAAGTCGAAGTAAGCTTGGGAGACTTTTGTGTATTTTGCACAAATTGTAAGCAAATAATTGTACTACTTTGTGTATTGAATATGTACATATGTGTACTGATAAATATCAGCGACAGAAGGTCATTGGTAAGATATCAACGATAGTCATATAGATATTTAAACAGTAGTAGCTTAAATGCCAGTAATTATTTGATAATATTCAAGGGCATACTTTAATAGTGTCGTAGAAATATATTTATAACTTTCCCGTTTATTTTGAAATTTATATTTCATATGTATACACGTATGATCTCAATGTGTATTAAATAAGTAATTAAGCAATTTATAGAAATTAAGTAATTAATAGAAAATATATTATTTTGCGCAAAAATGTATAATGTTTAGCTAGTGAACTATAATGTTCGAAAGGTAATTTTCTTGTAAAAAAAAATTATGTAAATTATGTTATCATAATTAATTGTATGTTATTACTTACGAGTAAACACGCAAATAAACTAAAAATAAAAAGAAAACGTATAATTTAGGGAAAAAATTCTTTATTGTCATTAGTGATTAAAATTATATTAAAACTTTGTTTACATAGACATAATAGGAGTGGAAAAAAATTTAAGAAGTATTTTCATTTTTGTTTCGTTGTTTCGATAACAAATTTAAATTGTTATCTTCATCGATAAAACAGAATGATCGTATCAGATCATCTAAATTTAACAATGCGAAAATGTAATTTTTCAATATCGATGAAATTCGAAAATATTCATCAACTTTCAGATATGGAGCTGTGATAAAAAGGCTCCAACTTTCTGTTAATATTTGCACAGATTTTCATAGAAAATATCTACTATACCGATAGTTCTTAGATTCCGTTCGATTTACGAGAGACAACAAATGTATAAGTACAAGCTGTCACATAATGGACACTGATGAAATCACACCTGTAATCTATTGTGTGATGACTTTCTATGATAACGGAATAATCTGAAATGTGTATATGAAACTCTTGCTATGCCATGTGAAATTCATTAAAAACTGTTTATCGAAAGAAGAAACTGTTAATATTTATAACCTTAATAACGTGACATGTGACATTTAAGACAAAAATAATCTGTATCCTTGTATAATATCACTCGGCTCTTTATGCTAAGTTTACGTTGATATCTTAACTTAACATTTAAATAACTGATAGCCACAAATTTGTTAATATGCGAGACCCGTAATTGGCAGATAGACAATGTTAAATATACAATGAATTGAGTTTGTAACAGTTCACTCTAGTCATTCTAGTGAATTATGCTTAATTGAATTCGTAGCCAACACTTTAGTCCCCTCTCCCAAACATTAGATCATTTTCTGAGTCAAGAAAATCCATCAGTTCTTTGTCATGGTACTTCTTTTGTCCAACCAGATTATTTACATATTTATCAATTTATTGCTGAAGTATATTTTTGTTAGTTTCTTATTTTTTAATTATTTTTATTGATATTTGTGTTACTTTTAGTGGATAAGTATAGTTTATTTGAATGATAATATTTTAAGTGTTATGAAAAATTTGTTAATGGAGAGGATATTATAAAACTAATTTAACTTAACACATACTTAGTTATTTATTAATAATTTTGTAACATATAACTAACAATGTCTGACAATACATCAAACGATGGGAAAACTGAGAATTTTGTTATAGATCATTTATTTTTTCATGATTCTGAATATGACGATGCACTAGGTGTTCCTGATTCATTAGAAATGACTATGAATGAAAACGATGACAGCACAAATATTAATTCCAATGATGGTATTGATAACGTAGGTAAGTTTATGATTTTTGTTTTTGTTACTTCCATCATTTTAGCTAATTCCACTAATTTCCTCTGAATTTAATCCTAATTATATTAATAAAATGCATTGTGTGTTGTCTTTCTTTGTTCATGTTAGAACATCCTGGTGTGATACCTTTCTCTTCTATATATGATTTACCAAAAAACATTAAACGCCAACATTATGATGTTTTTATTCCTGGTGAAGATGTGCATGTGAATATCATAGATAATGAACGTAGTGTAACAACTCATCCTTTGAATCCAAACTTGTACACTATTGAATTTAGGCATGGCCATTTTACTTGGACAATTAAAAAACGTTACAGCCATATCCAAAATTTGCATAATCAATTGAAAATATATCGTGCTAGCTTAAATATACCTTTTCCAACTAAAAGTCATAAAGAAAGAAGAATCAGCTTAAAAAGTTTAGGAGATGCAAAAGAAGGAAAGAGGCACAAAGGTGCATTACCAAGGTATGAAAATATTTAAAGAAATTCGTCTTCATGAATGGCTTTTTAAATGATTTTTATAAATGATTAGAAAATAAAAGATAATATTTTCAGATTTCCAAATAAACCTGATGTTTTAGTATCTTATGAACAATTGGACCATAGAAAAAAAGTATTAGAAGAATATTTGACTAATTTATTAAAAATAAAAATTTATTTGCACCATCCAGAAACAGTAAGTTAATAATTAATATTTACATATGTAATGTTTACTAACAATTACAAAACATTTTCAGATCGATTTTTTAGAAGTCTCGTATTTGTCGTTTATAGAAGATTTGGGAATGAAAGGCAAAGAAGGAATTGTATTAAAACGAACTGGATCAGGTGCAAGATTTAGATGTAATTTTTGTGGTTTGCTTGAAAGCATGTGTTGTATTAGATGTAATCATTTTTGCACGTCTCTATGTGGAAAATGGCAATCTCGGTATTTTATCGTTAAAGATACTTTTATTGCCTATATTAGGCCCAAAGATGGTATAATAAAATCAGTAATTCTAATGGATAATGGATTTGGAATCAGTTGTGGCATGTACACTACTGGTCTAAGAAATGGAATACAAATAGTAAATCTTAGCAGGCATATACTAATTAAATGTTGGACAAAAAGAAAAGCTAAAGAATGGATGGAATTTATACAAGAAGTTAGTAACAAGGAAGGTAAGTTTTTAACCAGTTGAAAATCTAGAACTTAAAAGGTTTAATATGTCATTACGTTACAGGTCGAGATTTTATACAATCAAATCCACACAATTCATTTGCACCTTATCGTTCGCCTATATCAGCCTCGTGGTTTGTTGATGGATCAAGTTATATGTATGCTATCGCAGACGCATTAGAAGGTGCCAAAGAAGAAATTTTTATTGCAGACTGGTGGTTATCACCTGAGATTTATATGAAAAGACCAGCACTTGATAGCAATTATTGGCGGTTAGATAAAATTTTGGAAAGAAAAGCTGTAAGTATTATGAAAAATATTACTTTTATTGCTTATTTATCCTAGTATATTTAATAATGCTCCTTAATCTGTTAATGCTAACAAAAATACAGGATTCTTGGTAAGACTACTGTAATTTTGAGCAAAACATTAATGTCACAAATCTAAAGGAATTATATATATGTGATTATAATAACGATTTTTTTATTTAGTTTGAAGGAGTTAAAATATTTATAATGATCTACAAAGAAGTAGAAGTTGCATTGGGTATAAACAGTTTTTATAGTAAACAACGACTAGTTGAAAAATGCCCTGATAATATAAAAGTATTACGTCATCCTGATCATGCAAGAGTGGGAGTGTTTTTCTGGGCTCACCATGAAAAAATTGTAGTTGTTGATCAAAGCATTGCTTTCCTTGGCGGTATTGACCTATGTTATGGGCGATGGGACAATAATGAACATAGACTAATAGACTTAGGTATACGAGATTTGAAAGTAAATCTTATTAATCATTATTAACTACAATAAATTAGATTGTTCTAAATTACAGGCAGTACCCACCAATCTAGCATTTACATTCCATCTAAAGGTAGATTTACCAACACCAGTAGTAAAAAAGTATCAAATGCCAATGTAAATAAACATGTCTTATTATCATTGGCTATTGCAACTAATACAGTTGTAATGGCTACTACAAGATCTATACCTGTATTGTAAGTTTCTTTACATATTATGTATACTGAACTTTTAAATTAAATTAAACTTTTTATTTTATTTTTATTTTTATTTTATCTAGACCAGTAATGAGTAGTAAATCGCCGATGCCATTAGCATTATCACAATTAAATACTGAAGATTTATTTCTAATGCAATCAGTAGACGAAACAGATACTATGAAATGTGATACTCCAAGTGTAGAACGTAAAAATTTATTTGGGATGGCAAAAGACACCATGGACAAAGTAAAACACAATATTAAAATAAAAAGACAAGAATTCATTAACATGGTATATAATCCACATGAAGAAAGTAGTGATGAGGAAAATGTCATGAATACGTATGTTCATATTATTTTAACAATTAAAAAATGTGTACAATATTAGGGAATTGCTAATGTATTTACAGTGATACAACACCAACTCCATTTGAAGCTACTGAGTTAATGGCATACAATAAAGATCTACATTCCGATTATCCAGGTGTAACTAAACTATGGTTAGGTAAAGACTATGTAAATTTTATTGTTAAAGACTTCAATGATTTAGAAAAACCTTATCAAGATCTAGTAGATAGAAGTAATACTCCTAGAATGCCATGGCATGATATAGGAGTTATGGTACAAGGTGCAACAGCAAGAGATGTTGCCAGACACTTTATACAACGTTGGAATGCAATTAAGGCAAGTGTTTTTTATTCATGTAACAATCTAATAGTTAAATAATATTTTTATAATTTATATTTGCAGATGGAAAAAGCAAAATTAAATTCATGTTATCCATTCTTACTTCCAAAATCGTACAAAAACTGTAAGAGCTCTGTTCCATTTATTGAAGAATCTGCTATACACAATGTCAAGTGTCAAGTACTAAGATCAGTCAGCTCTTGGTCGGCTGGTTTTCTTGATTCAGAAACTATAGAACAAAGTATACAAGAAGCTTATATTGAAGCTATTAGTAAAGCAGAAAGGTAAAATTAATTTTTACAAATATTCATATTAACTATTATACTATTATTAATAATCATCTTCAAGGGATGAATAAAACGTGCTTTCAATGTTTTCTCTCAGCCTAAAAGTAATCAAGATATGATAGATTAAACATCTTTCTATTTAAGGTATATATATATAGAGAACCAATTTTTTATAACACTTGCATCCATGGAACGCGCCACAGTAAAAAATCGCATAGGAGAAACCCTATTAAAACGAATTCTAAGAGCTCATCGAGAAGGAGCAGTATTTAGAGTATTTGTGATAATGCCTTTATTACCAGGTTTTGAAGGCGAGGTTGGAGGTCCAACTGGTACTGCTTTACGTGCTATTACACATTGGAATTATGCTTCTATATCAAGGTAAAAATTCTGTCATGCAATAAAATTGTAACTTAAAGTAAAATACATACAAACTGAAAAACTAGAAACATTTTAATTGTAAATAGGAGTCGAGGTGCGATCCTAAATCGACTAAATGAAGCAGGAATAGAAGATCCTAGTGAATACATTACATTCCATGGTTTAAGGACACATGCAATGTTAAATGGTACATTGGTGACAGAACTAATTTATGTTCACAGCAAGTTATTAATTGTAGATGACAATACTGTCATTTGTGGTTCTGCTAATATTAATGATAGAAGCATGATAGCCACGAGGGACAGTGAAATTGCAGTAATAATTCATGTAAGCATTACTGACAATCAAATATATAATTGTTTTTTATTTCATTATCGGTATTGATAATTCTATAATTACAGGACCAAGAATTTGAAGATGGAAGAATGAATGACATACCATTCCCTTGTGGTAAATTTGCAGGGTCATTGAGAAAACAATTAATTTCTGAGCATTTGGGATTGTTTAAGACAAACGAGAATATGGATATAACAGATATAATTAAAAAATCATTCTATAGAGACATATGGCGTGCTAGAAGTAATCAGAATACAGAAATCTATGAAGAAGTATTTCATTGTATCCCCACTGATAAAGTGGTTAATTTTTCTATGCTGAAGCAGTACCAAGATGAAGAACCACTTTCATTATCAAATCCACTTTCGGCTCAAGAAATGGTCGAAGAAATTAAGGTACAAATAATTTTTAAAAATATTAATAAATATTACTTCTACATATTTTACTTTGTTTCTTTTTAATTTTATTTTAGGGTCATCTAGTAAATATGCCATTAAACTTTTTAAGTAATGAGGATCTGAAACCAACTGCTGGTACAGTAGAAGGAATAATGCCAACAGCACTATGGACATAAATTATTGACATTTAAATTTAGTGCCAGTAAAATTTCAATCAATCAGTTTAAGATTTTTTGCAATTGTAAATAAGTTGATCTAACCTTGAATGTTTCATTGACCAAAGTACAAATGATCACTCTGCGTTTAAGACTAGATATTTTATTCTGTCCATAACAAAAATACACATGTGCTAAAACTACGTTGCTTTATGCTATTTTTGCTAAGAAACATTTAATTGCAATAATGATGTGAATTTTTATGCACATCGTCGTATTAATTGTACATAATAAATATCCTTTTAATTTAAATTTTTGTTACACATTAATAACAATATTGATGAAAAAACAATTGATAATTATTTAAAAGTATAAAATATAAATAAGTTATATCTTAATTTTGTTGAAAGCTTGAATTAAAAGGATATTTAGATTATTAATTATGCTTCAAATGGATCATAATTGTATTTCAACATTCCATAAAAACTACCTCTTTCAAAAAACACATAATATTAATACTGATGTAGTAATTGTTACTAATTTACACTCATTTTATTGCAATAACTATTTAATCTACTCAATCATTTTTTTATGGCGAATACTTATATCAATATTTAAATTTTGCCGATGTGCCTTACAAGAAGTGATTTTATATTAGAACTTTAATTTTTTAATGTTATTTATTTACATCGAACTATGCATGAAATAAAAATTAAACATGTCTTTCTTTGCTAATGCCTATTGTTTCTTGTTTATTATTCTTATTTAGAATAAAAATTTAATGTATAACTACTTTTAAAACATTATAACATAATTGTGGAATATAATTGCTATATAATATACTATTTCGGATATTAGATATACAGTAGAATAAATCGCAAGATAAATAGTTATAATTTGTATTAAACGCAGATTTTAATATAAATAGAGCAATGTAGAAATGCATTTTTCATACAAATTTCCACTAGAAAGACTTTATAATTTGTTTACCATCAAAAATTTGATAAATCGAAAATCAGGATAATTAATGTTCTACTGTATATTCATATATTCGAATTCAAATACTCGATAAAGCGCCATTATCCCTGATCTTTGAATCGGAATCATCATCGTACATGCTATGTTAAAAATATATAAATTTACCTTATTTTTAAGTTATTTTTCCATAAGCACAGGACCGGTAGCTAATGCCATAATACTTTTCTTTCTTGAAGCACTTCATTATTAAATTTACACTAATTAAAACAAAACTACCCAAAGAATCATTTGCGAATATACGGAATTGGTTGAAACTGAATTGCTTCTACGTATTTCCGAGTTTTAATCTTTGCGCATCTGTATGCGCATAAACCAGAACGTAGTAATCAACTTTATTACAAATTCAAATAATATTTAAAATGATAATGAAAGTAGTATTTCCATTAAGTCACTTTTTTCGAAACTTACAATAAATTATCAGTGATATTTTTTTATAACAATAATAACAACAATAATTAATTACATGAAATAATTTGAAATTATTTTGAACTTTTTATAGAAATAAATGCACGCCATATCCTTTTTAAATTTAAACTACGCAATTCGTTGTATTATCGAATTTTCAATAAAATGCATAGAAATATCAATCATAAACTGGTAATATTTTTTAAATCAATTTATTGTAATTGAATTTTATAAATTTTTTGTTCTAATAACTAATGATAAAAATGATATATTATTCAATAATATATCTGCATTTGATAAATATTTCAAATAAATTTGAATTTTAAGAAGTATAGAGATCAAATAGTAAATATATGAAAAAAAAGAATAGAATATTAAGAAAATAGTTTTGAAAATAAATATGTTAGTATAAATGGTATAAATCATTATTTCATTGAACAGATCAAGGGCCTAACTTACGTATTGTGTATCGTGTATTAACAAAGCAAATGCTTTTCAATATTTACCAACTATATACTTTTGAAAGTATAATTTTAAATATTTATAGAAATTAAGAATTTGTTTTTGTACACTTTACTTTTCTTTTTAATATATTTATTTACATAAAACCATAAAAATATATATTTCATATTACATATAATGTTTCACAAAATGTTTTGAAATAATAATATAAACATTTTATAATTATTTTCATTATTGAACTTGTTACCGACATTTTACATCCAACACACAATATACTAACTTATCCTCAGGGTCCGCCACGAAAACAATTTTTTTACCACGCTCATTCCGGTTCCAGCAAGACATCTGTCTATGTTTTGTGCACGTTTTATATTTTCATAAACAACGTTCCTTCTGGCGATGTGTTGAATATACTTTTCTATTTTTAATAGAAATATTGGTTTAGTATAATTTTGTATATTGACTTTCCTTCATTATTCTTAATAATGACATATTTAAGTTCGTGGGAAGAGTTCGAAAAAGGAGCCGAGAGGTTATATCTTCAAGATCCAATGAAGGTGGGTTTTAATTAAATTAATGGTGATATATATGTTTTTTCAATTTGAAATGCGTAAATAAATATATTTCGTCCAGTAGAAGAAAAGCTTTCATAGGTTATAAATCTTGACTGATGTGGCAATTTGACGTGTCATGTAAATGTTTGAAACGAAATTTTAGTTGAATAAATTTTTCAAATAAGTACATAATATTATATTGAATTTGTAAAGCATTTAAAATATGTGTGATTGCATTAATTGGTATATAAATAATAAGAATTTTTTGTATACAAAATATTCATTTATTTTAATATTAAATTACAGGTTAAATTAATAAAGTTTGTAAAGGCAGATTGTATTTATAAATAGTTTAATAATTACTAAGTTTATAATTTATTATTTTCCTTGCTTTAGGCTCGGTATACAATGAAATATTGCCATAATAAAGGTATTCTATGTCTAAAACTTACAGATAATCGAACGGTAAGCTTTAACCTTATGTAACTTACCTTATAATTCTTAAAAATCTATTTAAATAATACATTTATAATTTTCTTTTGTAGTGCCTACAATATAAAACAGAGATAGCACAGGACTTAAAGAAGATGGAAAAATTTATAGGAAACCTGATGAGGCACATGGCATCTAAAGAGAGCTAAATGAGGACTAGACAAGATTAGGGACACTTTTTTAATTAAGGAATAAAAGTGCTGCGCATTTAATTCATTGTTTATGTTGTTCCATTTCATAAGATTCAGTGACTGATGGGATTATAGATATTTAATTTGAATGAGGTATAAAAACTTTCTTAAATATACAATATGTGCATAAATGTCTATTTCGTATTTATTTAAAGCTTCATGCTCATTTCGGGCGGTTCCGTTGTCTCCTTGTTAAAGTTCTGAAACAGTACAAGATAAAATGTATCACAGTATAAGCAAAGATTTATTTAAAAATAAATTTTTAAAATAAACCATTCAAAATCGTGAAAATATGATATATTAGAATTCATTTAAAAAATACCAATACTTTTCAGAATGTGTAACTGTGTGTATATGTGTAATAGCAGCATATAGTGCATTAGTTATTAATAAAGCCAAACTTAATTTTAATTTTTTACTAGATATTATTGTAAGAGGGAAGCACAAAGCAATGAAAAGAAGCACTTACGATATAATGGGCTGAAGAACAGCATCCAGAGTAGTATCAACAGGAGGGTAGATTTCTTGATTTGAAGACAGTTCATAGCGTACCTCTCCCCCTAATTGCATTTGCGGCTATACCAAACAAAACTATTTTACTAATTTACTACGCAGAAGATTGTACGATACAACGCACTACATTTTAGCAACAGCATTTCATAGAATCAATTTTTCTTATTACTTTATGGTTCAAAGAATGGAAAAATGATGTAATAAAGTGCTGTGGCCAGCGGAGGAAGAAGTAGCAAGCCTTAACCATATGTATTTGTAAAAAGCGCTTAGTGTGTCTAAAAGATTTTCGTATAATAGTGCAATTTGAATAAAGACGATTTTATCTATAATTTCAGATTACAATAATCCTTTTTTCTTTCTTAAAAGCAAAAAGCTTAAACTACTTGAAGCAAAAGTGTTACCCATTATTTTCTAATAAAATTTGTTTACTTTTAAATAACATAGTGAACTAAAGTTACGTCGAAAGAGGAAAATAAAGAAAATAATGAGTTTCACTTGAAACCAAAACTGTGGTGACCACATTCGATAATCGAACGAATGACGATGTTATAATAGAGCAAGCGAAAAAATACGTACTACACGAGTAGGCTTAGCGCTGTCGGCAGAGCTTGAGCAGCAACTTGAAAATTCTTGCGGTGTACTTTCCCCGAGCCCACTGTCCACATTACTTCCTATCAATATTCTGTTGTTACGAGTATAATAAAAGTCCTTCCTCATATTGCACTCGCTCCTATTACCATCGTAGTATTTTGTCTCAACTTGATTCGGCCTGGTCGGTGGCAAATTATAACTTCCGTCGCGACTATGCTGTATCATTCTTCTGTTTCTTTTGCCAATGGATCCGATCGTTCTGAAAGTTATTCCTTGACAATCTTGGGGTACCACGGCAAATTTTAAGCACATCCCTGATCGGACACCATTACGACATCGATGCATATGTAATACGTTTTAGTTTACCAAACGTTCATAACATGGTTAATACATACTACGAGCCATATTGCATTCCTTTAGCGATACACATTTTTATTCACATTACAACACTAAGTTTTACGTAACAATTTATCCATTTGTCGATCACTTACGTACGCCAATGTATTTAGGAGTCTACAAGTATTTCAAGAATAATATTACCGGCTACCTAAAGAGGGGTTCAGGGATTCGATTCCACTGGCACAATGAAAATCTCCATCTTGATCGTTGACAATTATTATCTACCAGAACTTCGACACTCCCATATACCGATCACATTTACTTGTCGATTAATACGATGCATTATACCATACAAGATACACAAAACATTTCAACAGAGAACACACACGAACAAATGCTACAATTTTTCTTTTTAGAACGTATTTCCATGGAACAGCAATGTACTTCCATGGAATAGCGAGAAGCATCAGTATAGGTGCCAGCCAGGAAATAAATAAACAGGTGCGACAAGCTGTTAATCTCATCGATTTATTAAGGGCCTGTCATGCTTTAAATAAATAATAGGCATGCTTAAAATAGATCATGTACATGCTCTGAATAAATTAAAAAAAAAAAAGAAAAAAAAACACCACATGCAATGGGAAAAATTTCAAACAATGACTACGGATCCCGTCTCATCCTCCAACTGCGGAGGATGACTGTGGATGTTGCAGGCCGTCTTGAGATCATCGTACCTAGGTAGGGACGACGAGTCTGCGTCGTCCAATCGGGAATTGCTAGACTGTAGGGTACATTGTTGTACGGATGATTGTGATTGAACCACCGTATATGGTATCTCTCGTCGTTGCTGTTCACTCATTCCGGAAGTATCGACTAGCCCAAACTCCAAGTGTCTGGAAAATCAGCCATTGTTTCATTGTTTTACGTCATACTATGTTTCGCAAGGAAATTCATTAATTCTACAGAAACTGTCTTATATAAATCATTACGTGCGAATTACCTTGTACAAATTATTCAAATCATTTCATTCATACCAGAAGTAATAAGATTAGTACATGTTAGGGGGCCCACGCGATCAAAAATATTGATAACAAAGTTATCAAATCAGTTTCAATACACGATTAATATTTACAATATATATCATAGGCTACTTGTTATACAAAATAATGTTACAAATAAGAATTGTTCGATAATAAGGGAAGCATATACAGCAACAATTAGTTTTGTTTCGTCTTTTATCCAGATTCGATGAGATTTTTATCTGCAACATTTGTAAGATTAATATTTACATTTTTGAATTATATGATTATGGTCAAAAGTTACACATCATGGTTGAAAAACTTAAAGTGACTTTTATATCTCAACAAAAATTCAAAACAACAAGAAATGAATTACTATATTATATGCTTCTTTTGAGAACAAACAATTTTTTATGAAACATTTTTCGTATACCAAACAATTGATAAGTAATTTTATTTTAGATGGCAGGGTTAAATGGCTCGCCCTGTATATCAAGTGCAAGGTATCGATTATAATTTATTGTTTACACTGTGGCTACCAATTGATTCAGTAGCAAAAACAAAACAATCGAACGCATATTATGAATATTCATTTGAAATATCGGGTTTTAATAGTAAACGTGGAATATTATTGCAAATATCTCCACCATTACCAATATTGATATACATTAATAAATATTGACAATATTTCTGATCGTGCACGGGCATTATACATTGCAGTCTTTACATTATAACACATATGTCCGGTTTATATGTACACAGGACACAGCTGTTTAATTTGGAGGAAGAAATATAATACCAAAACCTTGTGCAATTTTTAACATTGATATTTACAATGATTTAAAATTAAATTATATTTATATTGGATTTGACTAGGTAAGACAAAATTCACTTTGAATTCTTTTATTTCCATGCATTTAATAATAACTATAATAAACTTGTACACATAATAACAATATTACAAAAGGTTTAAACTTAATGTCATATACTTACCCCTCCAAATCAAACAACTCGTTCAATCATGTTTTACTTAAACCGAACAATCAACATAAAAACTTGAATGTACACTTCCTGTTCAAAGAATAATTATTTCAGAGCTGTTACAATTTCATAAAGAAAACGTACTTCCTAAGCTCGTCTGGCAGTGGTTGCTTTTGAGAAGGACTCCGGTGTCTGCTTCTGTGCCTTCTTCTTGGCTCCGTGTGGCTCACCTATTGAAACATTCGTAATTTTAGCCACATTCATATTTAAAAAATGGAAGTTAAATAAACGAAACGTTCGCTGAATATCGAATAGGAGCAATCACGTTGTCATTGGAACTTACAACAGCACGTTGAACTCCTTCGCCCTTCCGCTTCTGTGCTTCTCTCCATTGCGGCTCAGAGTCTACCAATTCGTGTCTGAAAAGATTCACACGTGTATATGTAGCATAATAGTTTAACTCCAAAATATTCCCGAGCATTATAACGAAAGCACTACGATAAACCAAGTTTGAATCTGTTCTGCTCGTGATTTTTCATTGAAAACGTGAATGCGTCGCGTCGAAAGATTTCGTTGACCGAGGTTGATACTTCCCAGGCATGTCTTCATTAAAATAATTATCACCTCTCCGCGGTCTATGTACCCTACCGTGAGAGTATAATGAGTACGAGGGTTTCTTCCCGTCTTCACGGTCGACGAACTCGCCCAAGACGTTCTGTCAAGTTATTTCGTTTTCACATCACCGTCTAAGGGGCCTTTATTATGTCGATTAATTACCAATTAGGCAAGCACGCATATATTACGCGCTTAATTGTCTTAATATACGATAACAAACGCAACGAGGTTGATTAATGTAGATACGAAATGTTCCTTCTTTTTATCAATGATCAACCTTTAGCAATGATGAGTACGAAAGGAAAGGAAGAAAATCTGACTTCGTTATAAATGATAATAAAGGTAAAAGGATCTGATACAATAAGCTTAAGGTCAAACATATAGTATATAGTATAGAGAACCAAGATACGTAAATTTTTACATACAATGACTGTATTATGAAATGAAAATAGATTGAAGCCTTAAATCAAATTAAAAAATATTGTTAGGTAAAATAGACATTATCGTTGTTTAAATGACGAATGCTTGATAGGGTAGAATAAATATAGATGTGAGAAATCGTACCTAGAAGAACGGGAACTTCTGTGCTTCCGGCGATGCTTACGATGGCCTGACCTAGTGTCTGAACCTCTTGAAAGCTCGGATTCACAATCAGAGTGACGACTGTGTCTTCGATGACTATGACTATGACTTCTTCTACGATGACCACCGCGACTGTGACTGTCCCCTGAACTTTGGCTCTCTACAGAGCTACTCCGTCGTTGGAGTCTGCTCAAGAGCTAAAAAATAAATAACAAAGTGTAAACACTGGGAATATTAAACCTCGATCGAGTACTGAAGTAGTCAGATAAGACGTGAGCAATAGTTTGCAAAAAACCAAAGACTAATGTACACTGTAAAAAGCTTATTTTGTTTAGCAGAGAAATAGCAGTAGACACAGGTACACAGTATCAGAAAATAAAAATCGAGACCTTAACATTTCACATAGTAATCTTTCTGTAACAATAGCAATCCCAATAACAGTCTTTCAATCTTTCACAGATATTTTACTCACATCTCTAGCTGTACCGTATTCTGTATACCATATACGTCTTAAATATACTACATATTCTATATTATGAGAATACAATATATACTCTATATAAAGTACATAATACTATATAACTGTTCTATACACCACCATAAACTAAATCTGGGTTAGTGCAATATAAGAAGTTCCAAGCAAGTACTAAATCTAAAACACTACAACCTAATCTAAAACATGATCAAAACCATAATCAAAACCTAAATCTAAAACATGATACAAAAGGATCAAAAGTATCCTAACTCCTTCCTCACATTCCTAAATACATAAGTTATTACATTATTCCACAAGTCCAATACAATAATCCCTAACAAATTTTCTCTTCCTAGGAAAACAATCTAGAGATTCATAACATGAACAATCGAACTCTAGATTCCTCAGAACGTACAAATTATCAAATGCAACACACTAATCCCTAACAAATTTTCTCTTCCTAGGAAACTAATCTAATTTATGATACATATAATCAGATTTTAGGTTCGTTGTAACAGATAAGAAACACGAGGAACGTACTGCTGGCGCCGTTCCCGCGGAGCGGACGGACCGAGGACTAGACGAAGTATAAAGGCCACGAGGTTGGCTCTGAGTCCACGGCGCGCTTCTCGTGCTCCTCGGACTCGAATTGTTCACCTGTCTGGCGCTTTGAGTATTACACAAAACGTTGCCGCTGACCGAGTTGCTATTCGGATTCGAGTTCACTGTCGCTGGCGTTTCCACGAACGGGCCGACCATCTCTTGGCCTTCCACCACGCGTCGCTGCGCCCTGCGACTGGGCGTCCTCTGGAAGATCGGCGGCGGATTCCGTCTAATCACCGTGTGCTTCTCGGAGCCGGAAGGAGGGCTGTACGACCGGAAACGGGAATAAGGGCTCAGAGGTGGTGGCCCGGTGGCCATCAACCGGAAGAACGCTTGATGCTCTAGACAACACTTCCAGAGATGTCTGCAGGCTCCTTTCGACGGCGTCTCGAAACCATGCGTCCTTTCTTCCGAATTCTTCTCACTGACTCTCAACATGAAGTATCTACCCTGGAAATGGAAATTGCGTTTCGTGAGGTTTCAGCGATTTTCGAATAGTTCCAAACGATTATGCAGGGTTCTTGGGATGGGAAAATCTGAAGGAAGATTTGGTATAATTTTTGTATGATTCTGTATATTTAAACAGTAGATTAGTTGTGGATTGGTTATATGTAATTTATGTAGGCCTTGATTTCAAATCTGGAGTATTTGAAATTATTATTAGTAATTTTGATATATTATTTTGTACTTCATTGAGCAAACTTGGAAAATAAATTTATAGATATTTATAATTTTTTTTTAAATAAAAAAATTTAACTTTTCAATTATAGCGTTTCTAATGATATATCATAACGACTGTTTGCATTATACTAATTATCATTCTTTCTGTTATCACATCACCTTTACATTTCCACTTCTCAATATGTAATTTTATATACTTTTCACAAAACAATTAGCACTGTACATTTACATAATATTGATCCTTCCTATTCAATATTTTAAACAGACTCATCGGTGTATTTAACATTATCATTTCCACAGATTTTATTTATAAAATACACACTTATGTATATACACACTCACACACTGCACACTGATAAACGATTCTGGTTTACTCAAGGCGAACAAAATTCCAAAAAATTGCCACGTTTGCTCACCTTATAATAGATCTTGTTGATTCGAGGCCAGTAGTAATTTCCCACTTTGGTCTTGTTGCGCAACAAAATTATCCCGCTCGGCGTCAGGCCCAGAAAATACTCCACGCTATCCTCACCCTACGGATCGAGATTACGGGTTTTCGAAAGATTATCGTATCATTACGGCACCGATGGCCTTTGTTCATTCACAGACCGACTACCTACCAGCACTGGATGCAAATCGACTCCGTACATTTCCAACCATTTCACCTTGTCCAAATAATTCAGCTCCGCGGCGGAGGGTAATTGTCCTCTGGAAAAGGAGGTCATTGTTACTTTAAATTGCCCTGATTATTAATTACTCGCATTGCGAAATCGATCGGTTTTGCTTTTTGTGTTGAATATAAATACACGAAAGCCGGTATTATTTTCTGGATTAATTGGAACAGCATAATTTTGTTTCATTTTACTCGAATTTATTGTTGATTGCTTTTTTAAAATTCTTTTTCGCCGTGGATTGAGAAATTGTAAAAGGGAGATTTTTGAATAGGGATTTAGAAAATTAAGGATGAACGATTCTGAGATGGTTTTACTGTCGGTAGAGTCGTGCTTTCATTGTGTTTATTGGTATTTCGTTAATATTAGGTGCAATTTGTGCGTTTAACCCTTTGCACTCGAGAGACGACTCTCAGTCGCCATTTAATCAGATGCTGAAGATCGGTGTTAATGGATATGTCAAATTTAAAATTACCGAACGATGCGTGGAATGTCGAAGTAAAATAATTCTACGTTTTAATTTGTATACGATTTCTTATTTACCGTTTGAAAAATATCGTCGACTTTATGGCAGAAAGTCTTGGAATTACTATTTTTCTGCAATGAAAAATTTTCCGAGTGCAAAGGGTTAAAATTTGTTCGTAAAGAAGTGTCGTTGGTGTTGATACCTACACGAGAGTTTTATGAAGTTCCACTATACGGTTCTCCAATTCGGTAGTTTGATTCGCTAAGAACCGAAATTCGGTGACGTAGCCCACGGAATGCCGTCTGGGGTCGTAGTCTCCGAGTTCCGCTGAAACAATTACGAATGGAAACTCAGAAAGTTGTGTGAAACAAAACAGAAAAAATATGATACAAGAATAACGGAAAGATAAAGAACAAGTGATCATATCAACATACTCCGAGCATCCTCTGCGTACTGGGAATTTTTACGATCGCCCTACACGTGGGATAACACAGGATACTCAATTTATTAAACATCAGAACTATCGGATTATAACAAGTAACTAAATATATTGTATCGTGTTTTATATATATATGATATAAAATATTGTAAAAAATATAAAAATATGAATATATTATACAGGAATAATAATTTTAGTGGTATTACAGAGGCAAATAGCCGTATATAATAAAAACTATAGAAATGTAAGTATATTATACATAAATAATAATTGTAGTGTTATGACACTATAATATATAATTATGTTTTTATCTGAAATAATGTTAATATTAATTTTATCAGAAACAATTAGATGTTATCAGACATTGTGAAAATAAAATATTCAAAACAAGTCATTTTGACTCCTTTGGTAGTTTTAGTGTTAATATCTTTATGATTACATCAATTAGAATTTTAATTTTATGATATTTTAATTCAATATTTGTGTTTGATATTGTATATTTTTAAAGTACCGAACTACTAAATATTGTTTATTTACAAAGCATCAAAATATCAAATATCGTGTATTTTCAAAGGACCAGATATTGTTTATTTCCAAAGTACCAAACTACTAAATATCGCCTGCTTACAGAGTATCAAAGTACCAATTATAGCATATTTTGAATGTATCAGATATTGTGTATTTCCAAAGTACCGAACTACTAAATTTTGCCTATTTATAAAGTATCGAAGTACCAAATATTGTGTATTTCCAAAGTAACAGATATTGTTTATTTACAAAGTACCAAAATACCAAATACTGTTTATTTGTTTACTATTACATAAAATATCTAATATTGTCTATCTGTTTCTTAATGCATAAATTATCGAATAAATTTAAAACGAAATTTAATAACATTCTGACAAATATCGATTATCTTCGAAAGGCGATTTCTTGAGTTACTTCAATTCGATAATTAATATGCCTGGGAATGTATTACGTATCTTCAAAGGATCAAATAAATGTGCAGCCAAATTCTTCAATATTCTCATGATAATTAATTATAACCTCGATTCCTTTACTCATTTTAATTCGGTAATTAATGTCTTTGAGAATATATTGCTTACATCGAAAGTATCAAATAAATCTTCAGCCAAATGTAGCAATATTCCGACAATCATACATCAGACCTTTTTAATTTACATACTGCAATTTAATAATCAATATGTCTGAAAATATATTGCTTACTTTCAAGAAAATCAGATAAATCTTCCATCGAATTTATTAATATTTTGATAATTATCACTTACAACTTCAATTTCTTCGTTCACCTCGATTCAATGATTAAAGTGTCCGAGAATGCACTGCTTTCAAAATGTCAAATAAATCTATATTCGAATTTATCAATATTCTGACAATTACCAATGACAACTTCAATTTCTTCGTTTATTTCAATTTAACAATTAACATTTTTGAATAAAACAATAAATATTTCGAAGAAATATTCAATCAAATTTGACAACATTCTGATAATCATCAATCACAATTTCAATTTCTGTTCACTTTAATTCGATATAATTAACGTAGCAAAATAAATTAAGAATTTACTTTAAAAAGAGAAAAATAGAAATAAACATGTAAAATTGAAGTTGCGATTAATAATTATTAAAATATCGATGACTTTGACTAAATATTTATTTAACAACTCGTAAATATACAATATATTTACAGACATGATGATTGTTGAATTAAAATACACGAATAAATTTAAATTGTAACCGATAATTACCAAAATATTAATGTTTATGAAGTCTAAGATGAAAACCTGTTAATGGATGAAATATCAATAACAATAAGAACAATTCTTTATTTAATTACAAAAAAATGATCAAACACAAATATTAAGTATAAATCTAATTAATTTCTCGTAATCACATGCTCACACCTATTTTCACTATTACAACTCAATTACAACTGACCTATGCCCAATCTCTCTGATTTGTTCTTTCTACTTTCATACATTACACGAACATACACAATTCACACACACCTCGATCATTACACGCATACTCATTTATCACGATACCAGAGACCATTAGATATTGGCATCCTTGTGTCGCTCCTTTATTATATCAACACATATATATTCAAAATCTATGTTAACCATTACCACAACATAATCTGAAATATTGTGTTCAGAAATAAATCACTGAAGACACCTATGACTTGCAAACAGATAATAACAGAATTGACAGATATAAAAGGAAAGACTTTGACAGGGACTAGAAAGAGTCTCTAAAATATTGTCTTTTGTAATTAATGTTTAAAATCAACAAGTAAAGAATATCTGAAAGGATACTTAAAATTAGCAAATAAAGGTTAAGGAAATAAATACACGAAAGAAAGAAATTTTTTAAGGCGACCTGGAATATACTTTAATGTATTGCATTTCTAAGTCCTTGAATGCACTTGATTGAGTAGACTTACAACTCGTCAGTCAACGATACCCAGTTTATTAATTCTAACTGTTTCCTTTAATTAATCTTTGTGACATCGAAAGTTTCCATTGCCACAAAACCTCATCACGAGCTAGACTCGGTACTGCAGTACATGGAGGTAAAAATTACACAGCGAAACTGTGAACCTGAATCAACACGGTATTTCACGGAACATTCGAAAAACGTTGAAAATTATACATAAACACACGAAACCCGAATAAACAGATGCCCGTAATATCACGCGCAATTAAACTCTAAAAACCGATGGCTCCTCGGTGTAACTCGTGCATATTCACGTAACGGTCGCAGATATTTAATGCTTCCTTGTTACGTAATTTCATGCGTCTCTTTGCACGGGACGTGCATCGAGATGCACACACGTGGAACACGTTCGCGATTTATTTTCATGGTATTAAGCAAATCGCCCAGTAACACGCATTCCGTCAGCCGGATGCTCGCTTGCATTATCCACGCTAGGAAGAAAAGTACGATAGCACTCTCATCCTGCAATCTACGTACGCACAACTTCTGCCACGACCCTTTTTTTGCGCGCTTCTTCTCCCTTTGCCTTGGTTTCTTGCTTTCTTCCATTTAAACGCGTGCAAGCGCGAGAATTTATGTGGTTGGGTGAGCAAGAGGCAGAAGTTGCAAAATGGCGGAGGTCTTCTGGAGAAATAGTTATCGCGGGTTTTAGGGTAGTATTTGGGAAAATTAGATAGGGTTTAATTTATTGGAGAAGTTCGTATCATATGTATGGGGTCTGAGAGTACTTGGGCAGTACAGGGGATTGGAATATTTATAGATGTGTGATTTATAAATACAATTTTATTATGAAATATATTATAGGATGTGTTATATATATGAGATATATTGTATTGAATACTGCAATAATATTATGATTATATTATGTTTAATATTCTGATCATATTATAATTATGTTATATTTTACGTTATTATGTTATATATAATAATATTAAATTATACTATTATATTATAATATTAAAATTTTTTAAAAACT